ATCAGTTGCCTCCTGTACACACCACGGCCAAGGATCAAACCCTTGACCTAGGCATGTACCCTGACCCAGAATCGAATCCACAACCTTTTGCTGTACGGGACAACGTTACAACCAACTGAAGCAGGTGGCCAGGGCTGAAATCACATTTTTAAAAAGTATCCTGCATAGTAGGAGCACACAGTAGGTGCTCAACACATGATAGGTCTTATTATAAAAACGACAGAAAAAGAACTTTGCACCAGGTTGGTATGGGGATGAATGAGATACCTCGGCTTCACTCTGAAGAGCACATGAGACCCAGGTATTCGTGAGGCTTCAACTAGTGACCTAGATTCCTGTCACCTTCCTGCCCGGGGTCCTGAGATGACGGTTCTGGTCCCCCTGGTGCCGGTCAGTGAGGCTAAACACACACAATGATTGCTCACATGATGGCTGTTTATTACATTCCACAGATATTTCCTTTCAACACTGTGCATGCTGCTGGCTCAGCCCCTGCCGAGGTCCAGAAAAAACAAAAATGAAGATAAATACTCCTGTTTTTCTGTTGTCTTGAGCAATTGTCCTGTGTCAGGTGCTAAGCTAAGCACTTTACACGCATCGACTTCTCAGAGCAAGTCTTTTAGGTCCGTGCTCCTATCGCCCCATTTCACAGGTAGGAAAACCAAGGCTCAGAGGACTAAAGAAGTTGTCTAAACGCATGGCGCTAGCAGGTAGTGGAATCAGTCCCAGGCCTGCTTCTTCCAAAGGCCCTGACGGCCATACCCCCAGACTGTCACACTGTGGACAAGCTCCAGAGGGAAGCCCCTCGCGGGAGATTTCAGCTTATTCAGGCGAGGAGGCGTGTAAACAGCACAGGGCCGCGAGATGATGCAATGCCAGAGGATGCTGATGATCGAGTTCTAGCAGCTCTGGGCAGGGTTCAGTGTGGCCTGCTGGCTGAGCCTGCGTCAGGCTCTGGGGAACAAGAGGACGCCCCAGTCGGCAAAGTCCCCCTGGGGCTGGCTGTCACCAGTGTCAGGAACAACACGCTCCTCCGTCCGGCTGAAGCGACTCCCAGCCTCGGCCCATGACCACTGAGAGGATGACCTATCACGCGCTGGGCCTGGTCAGCGGCGCTCCGAGGGGGGCCTGCTGTTGGAAGGAGGGCGGTTCCTGCAGTCAGTGGGCACGGCCTGTCTTGCCCCCTGGCCTGGACCGTGGCTCTCCTGGGTAAGGAGATAATGACACCCCTTTGCCTTCCGAGGACTCCGTGGAGAAGGCCACACGCTGAGGGTCACCAAAGCCAACTCCGAGACGGTAGAGCTTTTCTTCAAGTCAGTCTGGCGACATCTACCAAGAGGGTGAAAACGATGCACACCCTTCAATCCCGCGATTTCACCACGAGGAGCGACCCCCAGGGAAATGGCCACGGCGGTGGGCTACATCGGGGGTGTGAGCAAGGATGGTCGCCGGAGCACCACACACTCAAGAATCAGAAACGGCCCGGCTGGCGTGGCTCACTGGTTGAGTGTCAACTTATGAGGTCGTGGTTCAATTCCCGGCCGGGGCGCATGCCCGGGTGGCAGGCTTCATCCCCAGTAGGGGGTGTGCAGGAGGCAGCCAATCAGTGATTCTCTCTCATCATTGATGTTTCTCTCTCTCTCCCCCTCTCCTTTCCTCTCTGAAATCAATAAAAATATATTTTTAAAAAACAAACAACAACAACAACAAAACAGAAACGTCCCAACTAGTCAGGAACAGGGGCTTGGTTTATAGAATGCTACATCCTTGTTTCTTCCCAAGTCTGTGTGTTCATTGCCTGACCTCCTCCAGGCAGTTCATGGAACAATCCCCCCCAAACCCCAAGCGCCCAGGGTACTGGCCTGGAGCACAGCGTGTGGGCTATTTCATAGGTGAACGAATTAGATGCATGCACTTTCAAGCTGGGAGCATACTAGATCCGTGATTTGGAACTTGAATTTGCACTCTCTGTAGGATGGAGGTCAGGTGGGTGCTCGCCCACGTCCCTTAATGCAGTGGTGGTGGGGGAGGGGGTTGGCTCCGGAGCCAGACTCCCCGGCCCCGATCTGCCTCTGTCCTGTTCCGGCTGTGACCTTGGAGACGGCTTGCCCTTGGAACGTCTCAGCGCTCTCGTTGTGAAGTGGGGGTACTACCCTTGCCCCCGAGCGTGGTCGTCAGGGAGAAATGCACCAGTGAGGTGCCCGGGAAGAGGGCCTGGCAGGGAGTAGGCGCTCCTGAAGTGCCCGCCGTGATCAGCGCGGCTTTCCTGGGCTGCTGGGAGGATTAAGCGGGAGGCTTTCCGAAGCACACGCAGAGCTCAGCCCGGCTCAGGAAGCAATAGCTGCTTCCACCACCCTGTCTCCGCCGTGGCTACCAGACCACCTCTCCGTGGCTTTTCACAGGAAGCAAACGGAAATGCACGGGACATGTCTCGTTGAGACCGCCCCCCCCCCCCCCCCCCAGCAGGAGGCTCCTTTGCCAAGTCAGACACCGGATCGGCTCTCTCCTCTCAGCAGTTTCTGTCTGTTCAAGGTCACGTGTAGAAGTTCCTGGCATTTTCCAGTGTCTCTGTCTCTCATTCATTTGCGGAGCCACCTTTGAAATGTCAGGCTTGTCGTTGGCTTCCTGGCACGCCTGCCTGGAGCCGGCTCTGGGGAGCAGCCCTGAGGCCACTGGGCTTCTGACCTCCCCCCACCCCTGCTTTCCAGCTTCAGTTCTTTAAGGACCGGCAATCTTTTTGCCCCAGCTGCACGCTGCTCGGTCTGGTCTCGCCCTCATTATTCTTCTTTCACTTTTTCACATTTAAAACATAAATACGTTTACTCAAAAGGGGAACGGGCCCACCACCAGAAATGGAAAGCCGATAGCACCTGCCGTGAACAGAAGCTACCCGCAAAAAGAAAAACGATGAAAATAAAGCAATATTATTAGTTTTTTATTGATTTCAGAGAGAAAGGGAGAGGGAGTGAGAGAAACATCAATGATGAGAGAGAATCATGGATCGGCTGCCTCCTGCACGCCCCCTACTGGGGTTGAGCCCGCAACCTGGGCATGTGCCCTTCACCGGAATCGAACCCGGGACCCTTCAGTCCGCAGGCTGATGCTCTACCCACTGAGCCAAACCAGCTAGGAGAGAATAATAAAGCAATACTACTGGATTCTACAGGAACAGGGCTGCCCTGGGAGACTCCGGCTTGAGGCTGTTTGGTGTCCAGTTAGAAGGGAGGTTGGGCAGCTGTTAAAGTTGCAGAGCGGGGTTCAGGGTGTGCTAGCACTCCTGAGAGCTCCTTTTGGTGCAATAAGAAGTATTGAACGAAAATTTGAAGAGGAAAAACTCTCTGACTGCGTGACTCCGTGTTTTATTTCCTTGTCCTTCAAGAACTTGCTCCCGTCTGCCAGGGCCAGAGGGGCCTTGCTATGTGATCCAGTTCTGTATGGAGCAAAGTTAAGGAGAGAACAGCCCACCCTCCGCCTCTCACCTATTAGGGCATTTTAGGAAGATTTCAGAGAAACATTCTCTGATGGTGTCCGGGCCCCAAAAAATCCTGCTCTGAGGGTGGCCGCACATCAGAATTCCTTCGCCTCCTGATGGAGCGGAAGTGAGGCCACCAGAGGGTGGCCTGGGAATGGTACGGCCACTGGATCTCCATGAAGAGCAACGTGTGGGACTCAGCGCGCGTCCATGAAGAAATCCACGCCCTGGGGTGTCCGAACCAAGCAGACGGCTGTGCTTGATTGAAAAAGAGAGTCGCCAACCCCGCTCTGCCCAGCCAGACCCTAGGAAGAAGCAACCCAACAAGGCGCTGACTTCGAGGTCCCGCCCCTCGTCCAGCAGCTGCTCCCTTTATGGAGAGCCAGGGAGGAGCCACAGGGGCATGGCCCCTGCACGATGCCTGTTCGCAGGTCTTCCCCCTGCCGCACTGTCCAGTTAGATCCACACGCTAGCCCTGGCCGCTGCGATGTCCTTTCTAGAACCCTCTGCCTCTGACCAGCTGGCTCCCTGGCGCACAGTAGGTGTGAAGGGATGTTTCAAATGAAAGGATATGCTTTACACTGGGCTGCCTCTACAGTTCATTTCAACATGTTTCCTTTTTAAAAAGACACATTTCAATGGAATTTATTAGGGTTACATCGGCCATGGGTTACATCACATTACCCAAAGCAATCTCTAGATTCAACACAGTTCCTATCAAAATACCAATGGCATATCTCACAGAGCTAGAACAAACATTCCCCCAAATTTATAAGGGACCACAAGGGACCCCAAATAGCCCCAGCAATCTTAAGAAAGAACAGAGGTCTCACGCTTCCTGATATCAAACGATACCACCAGGCCGCAGTCATCAAAACAGCATAGAAACAGACATAGATCAGCGGGACAGAATAGAAAGCCCAGAAATAAACCCACGCCTTATGGTCAATAAATATTTGACAAAGGAGGCAGGAGCACACAATGAGATAAAGACGGGCCACTCAGTAAATGGTGCTGGAAAAATTCAACATATTTCGTGAGTGGCAGGGACCAACGGTGCTGGAGGGCTTCCTACCAGGCACTGGTGGGGTGACCACTGTCCGATTTGGGGGGATTCTCCTGCTGTTAGCACAGGAAGTCTGCATGCCCCAGGAAACGCCCCCCCCCCCGCCACACACACACCAAGGCAAACCGGGACAGTTGGTCACTCTACTGGGTTAGGCCCCACATGCTCTACTGTCACGGACTTCCCAGGAGAGTGGGAGACGATGACATTAAACAGATCATCCCACGAAGAAATGAGTAATTACAACGTAGGCTGAAGAAGGAGAAGCCAGCCCTGCGCGTGCCGTGTGCACGGGGTGGGGGGGGGGGAGGCATGGCCTGGCCCTGGAGAAGCTCCTGGTTGCTAAGAGAGGGAGGGACACACAGCTTATCTGGTCAAAGGTGGGGAGTGCAGAGAATAAGAAATCTGCCTCTCTATTCCCGGTTCCTATCGCACCGTTTATATTTCTGTTGGGTTTTTAAAATATATATTTTTATCTATTTCAGAGATGAAGGGAGAGGGGGAGGGAGAGATAAAAACATCAATGCCAACTGCATGCAAGAGCAACCTGGAGAGACTTTGACAGCTCAGGTCAGCATAATACCTGCAGCTGCCACTCGCCTTTCCTATATCTCAGGAAAAAACAAAAACAAAAAACAAAAACATCAATGATGAGAGAGAATCATGATCAGCTGCCTCCCGCATGCCCCCCACTGGACTTGGAGCCTGGCCTGGATTTGAACCATGACCTCCTGGTTCATAGGTCAATGCTCAACCACTGAGCCACGCCGGCAGAGCTCGGTTGGGGTTTTAAGCATCAGAAACCCGCTCTGGTGAGCTCAATAGATATATAGTGAACGCGCATTAGAAGGAGAGGCTGACTCTAGGCCCCCTCGGGCAGTGAGAGGGGAACAAACAAGCCAGAACTGAAGAGCCCGCCTGGTTCCATTCCCCTTAGAAAAATGGAGTCCGGCCACTCTCTGCCCTTGGGTGTCCCTGCCCAATGTTCTCATTCCGGGAAGAAAGAACCTGACGGCCAAGCCTGGCTCTCATGCCAGACCCTTGGCTAGGCGAGGGCGGCACCGTGATGAGAAATTCCACCAACACTGGGTGCCACGGGGCACGGGCGGGAGGGCTGCTGACGGCAAAGGGAAGGGCCGGGATCCCGGACGGTGGGGGCCTCAGTTGCTGTTCAAGAAGCAGCTTCCCAGGGCCTCTTGCTCCGGGTCCCTGCCTTCGAAGTAGCTCTCTGCTTGCCTTCTGTCCAGAACACTGTTACCAAGGCCAGCCCCATGCTGACAGCTGCCTTCTCGAGCGCAGGTGTCTGACCCAGCCCCCTGGACTGTTGTCACCTTGGAGCATGTACCGTGCCCTTGGGCATGGCTGGTACAAAGCCTGGCGCAGGGGAGGGAGTCTGTGAGTGTTGCTGAGAACTTTCTAGAAAGTTTAAGGAGCACACTGCCACCAGGATCCCTGGCCCGCTGCCCTCCAGCCACACCAGCCTTTCCCTGCTGCTCAACCTCTCAGCCTGCCCTGCTGTTCCTTCTACGCATGTTGCCTGTTTACTAACCTCATGACTCAGGGGTTCCCAGCCGGGGGGTTCTGCTCTCCAGGGGACATTGGGTGAATCTGGGACAGTTATTTGGTTGCCGCACTGAAGGGGGGACTGGGGGCTGCTACCAGCATCAGGTGGAGGAGGCCAGAGATGCTGCTAAACATCCTAAATGCCCAGGACAGCCCCACATCAGGGAATCATCGGGCCAAAATGTCCCTCACCGCAGCTGAGAAATCCCGTGGCCGGGCTGAAGGCTCCCGTCTCTGCTCTGAAGTCCCCTCTGTGGGGAGCCTTCCCTGACAGCCAGCGCCCTCTCACGCCCCCTCCGTCCTGTCTTCTTTGGGACATTTCGCCGCCGCCTCACGTGATCACGTCTGCTTACTCAGTTGCTGTTGGGTGCCCTCTGCGAGGGCCCGCGGGCCTTGTTCTCTGCTGGCTGCCCGGCAGGCAGAGCGGCACCTGGCAGGCTGTGGGCCGCTCCGTAATCATACGTCACACGCGTGTTTCATGAAGGGAGTGGCCTCAACTGCTCAAACACCCGGGGTCAGACACTCAGCCGTGAGGCCCAGCTCCTCTGGCGGCCCAGCTTTGTGTGTAGGTGTCTATTTCACTGCCAGTTCAAAGTCAGCCTCTGTTGGCTGCTGGCTGTGTGGCCTTTGGCAGATGTCTTACGCTTCCCAGGCCTCAGTTTCTGCATCTGTAAAGTGGGGCTATTATGGTGAGCCCTTTCCTGGCAGAGATGTGGTGTGGATGAAATACACTAGTCCACATGCACAGAGCACATAAGACAATGCCTGACTCAGAAGAGCCTCAGCAAATGTCATCACGACCATCATCATCATCACCACCATCATCACCATCACCATCACCACTGTCATCATCACCATGGGGATTTGGCTGGGGTCATCAGTGACAATGACAGAATGGGCTCTGGGGCCGCACCAGGTGCTTAGGGGATGAAGGCAGCTTGCAAGGCCAAAGTTGTCCCCACTCGGTTCTGTCAGCTCCTGCTCCACCCATGAAACACACCGGCGGAAGCCTTTACCCACCTCTTGTTTTGCTAAGGAGGCTAGTAGAGAGCATGGATTTCATGTGGCAGATGGTGCTGTCCTTGGATTATGAGACCAAGCAAGGAAATTAAAGCGCTTCACTGCAACAGATTATGGGCTCGGAGTGGTAGCGGGCAGGGGTGGGGCATCAAGGGGGGCAGAGCAGGTGTTTTATCAACTGGGCAATGGCTGTTCTTGAGAGTAGCTGGAGCCCTAGAATAATATAACTTTATGGCCCCTTCATCTTATTTAGGCCCATGCAGTGCAGAAAGGGAAACAGGGGCAGTTAACGGTACGGCACCCACGTCTCTTGATTCCTGGATCAGGGTTGTTTTTGCTGCCCCGGGCCACGGCCACTGGGAGACTCGGGGCATGCCGACTTCAGGCTCCTCTGCTCAGCACAGGCCTCCCGAGGACATGTACCCAGTGCCTCCTCTCAGCGCGGCAGGGAGAGCATGAGCCAGAGCCCCGAGCCCTCCTGTCTGGGTCCCAATCTCAGCACCAGGGCGAGTTTCTTACCCTCTTGGAACCTCAGTGTCCTTATCTGTAAAATGGGAATCATAACAGGCCTTACCTCACAGGGGTCCTGTGAGCATGTGATGAGTTACCATCACAGAAAGCATTTAGCCCTGGGCTTGGCACATAGTAAATGCTCAATAAAAATGTTAGTTCTTAATGAGGCCCCAGAATTGACTTCGGGTCTCACAGTCCCCTAGGTTGTGAGCCCCTGCGAGGCCAGTCTAGCCCTTGTTCTCTATGCCTTGCATGACAGCTGACACCTGCTGGGAGCCTGGTAAAGGGTGGTGGCTGACAACTGGCCCCCTTAGGGACACCCATTTCTCAGTGGGCACCAGGAAGGCCCAGGGGATGTGGCAGCAATGCATGCGACTCTGTCACTAGTTTAGCCCTTAGTTCTCCATGGATACAGCCAGCCTCCTGGCCTCTGTGAACCGGCCTCCGCCTCGTGATGCGGCCTGTTTTTTGTTTTCCCGGCTCTTCTCTGCAGCCCAGCCTTCCCCCGACTGGACTGTGGGCTATTTGCATTTAAATTGGTTTTCTCTCGTTATAGAAATCTCTTAGGTCAGCTGGAGTTTCCATTTTCCTCAGGATCCGTGTGGAAGCTCCATTTCCCAGCTGAGGGTCCCTCACGCCTCCCTCCCTCTCGCTGACAGTGAGAGGCGGTCACACATCCTCCCGCGCCTGGCGGTGACCAGGTAGCCTGAGAAAGTCGCCCCATTCCAAGCAAGCTCAGAGTGCTTGTCACGGGAGGAAGGGCTGGGGGAGGGGCTGGAGGGTCTCAGAAGAGGCTTTTGGTTAGTGCTCATCATAGACCACAGTCACATACATGTGCACACACGCACACACACGGACACACACATGTGCGTATACATGCATGCATGCATGCACACACATACACATGCATGCGTGCACACACTAGCTAACCTGTTTATAGCGCTAGCTGTGCTCAGGGACTTTTCTAAGAGAGTCCATTGCTAATAATAGCACTTTGTTCGTGGCGTCTCATGAAGATTAAATGAATTAATAATTAATGAATAATGTTTTCCAGATGAGAAAACTGAGGCACAGAGAGATGGAGTCACTTGCCCAAGGTCATGGCTAACACACTGCAGAGCTGGACTTGAACCCGGGCAGGGTGGCTCCACAGCCTGTCATTCATCCTAGGCTCCGGCCACACCCGACCACACTCTTGTGCTTTCTAGTCTAGGTCATTGTTCAAAAAGTGCTGGTCAAGACCCACGACTAGGACTTCCTGACCCGGGTATGGGCGTGAACCATGGTTTGTGAAGACTGACCTGAACCCTGGATGGACTGGCCCCGTCTGCCTGGGAGCATGAGGGAGGGGAAGCAGGGGGAGATGCTAGCGGTGGACTTGAAGGATGAGTAGTTTTCCAGTGGATAAGAGGGACAGAGAGCAGTTCATGAAGGAGGTCTAGTCCGGGCACCCCAGCTTGTCTGGCAGTGCTCAGGTGTGATGTAGGCTGAGCAGGTGCTGAGGTGTGGGGCTGGGACACTGGCAAAGACAGGCCTCGAATGCCATGTGCATGGGCTCCATCCTGAGGGTCGAGCAGCAGCGGGACAGAGACCATCAGATAGACAACCGTCGGTGACAAATGCCACACAACGGGAGCCCTAGCTCACTTCACTGAACACCCCTCCACACCAGGCACTGGGTCAAGAGCTTTACTCAAGGGTTCACATTTCATCCCAACAAAACCCCCGTGACAAATGAGAATACTGAGGTAAGAAGTTCAATACATCTGGGGCTTGGAATCAGGCAGTCCAACCCCAGACTCTGGGCCCTCAACCACTCTCCGAAACTCATGCCGCGTGCCACGTGGATGCCTGCGGTTGAAGCCATCCCACGTGTCAGCACTGAAACACTTGGCGATCGTTGGTCCCCTGGCCTGAGTGTCACTGTTATTGGAGACAGGCAGTCTGGAGGGGAGATAAACCATTTGATTCAAAACCACACCAAACCGAAACCAACAGGCACATCTCTGCGACCTCGATTGCTGAGGGAAGTGGTGTCAGAAGTGGGCTCAGATGAAATGCTTATATGAGGGGACTGATAGGTGAGAGTATTGCATTTGACAGGGCGGGGACAGGAAATGGGAGGTCTCCGTGTGTTTACTCCGCAACTGTCCCCCAGGAGCTCTGTGGACCCTGGTCCCTGCCCGCCAGGAGGGTACCAGCTGCGAGGGAGCCAAGCACAGAGCAGACCACTGAGTGCCCAGGTGGTCGTGCTCGGTGGATGAATTCAGGGTGCACTTTGGACACAGAGCAGGGACAGCTGCCTTAGCCTGGGCAGAGGCACCTGGAGCCCAGCCCAGATGGCCTGGAGGGCAGAGCGGTGGTGAGGGATATTTCAAGGGGGGTGGGGACAGCATCTTCCAGGGCGAGGGGGGTTGCAGTCATGCTGAAGTGAGCAGACCACGCAGAAGGGGCACAGCAGAGGGGCTGGGTCCTGAGGGCTGGGCCCCCAGCAGTTGGCCTGGACCACTCCGGGCG